GAGGGCCGCGACTAGTCCTGTTCTCTGACAGCGCCCTGCGCCCGGCCCAGGGTCTGGCCCGGAGTGGGCCCCCAGCGTGTGTTCAGTGTGAGAAGGAGGAGGAAGAGGCTAGGCTGGGGAGGCTTGGGGGGAGAGGAAGAGGGGCTCTCGGGGGAGACCGGAACCCGGAATAGTCCGATTAGATGGGTTCCGGACAGCAAGACGAGAATCCAGTCTGGTAGAGAGACCGTGATTTGTCCAGACAGGAGTCTTGTTGGGTAGCTATTTCGTAAGGGCCTCCAGATTTGAATTAAAGCCTGGAGCAGAAGGTCTAAGAGGTAAGATTTATTGAACTATGGAAGATTAGAGTAAGGAGAGGACAGCTGTAGGGAAGAGGCCTTGCCGACAGCCCCTGGCACGGTCATGCGTCTCGCCTATCCTGACTTGTCCTTGGCGTTGGAGCAGAGAAGATAGAAGGGAGGATAAGGGCTTTCCTGTGTATCTTGGTACTTTATTAAAAGCTCTGTAGGTGATATGTGTGCGACAGATGTAGTGTTTTAGAGGGGCCCGAGGGATTACATTGATATCTAATAGATGTATAGCCCTTCACAGTATGCGAATACTTTGCGTACACCTTTCATCTGACCCTCTCTTCAGCCTTGTGGCAAGGTGATAGAGTTGCCCTCATTAGACAGAAGAGAAAACGGAATCTCAGATCAGATGACTTACTCAGGGTTACCCAGCTATTTAGAGATAACGTCACGACTGGACCCCAGGTCCTCAGATTCTAAATCGTTTGCACTTCAATGTACATATCATTCTGAGACCAGCCTAGCGTGGTACCTCCCTCAGTGACAGAAGGAGAAAGTCAACTTTGATGTGTGTGTGTGTGTGTGTGTGTGTGTGTGTGTGTGTGTGTGTGTGTTTTAAGGTCTCCCTTCTCTGCTTTTGTTCCCAGTGCCTTTCCATTGGCTGCCATTGATGTGACAAGCTTTTCTGAGCAAATGTACTGTGAAAAAAGTTTTAGTCTATACCTCAGGTGGGGAGCAGGGGAAGTAGTAGCAGAAGACATCAGTGAGGAACAAGATCAGAATGACCCTCCTCATTGCAGAGGCACAGTCATCGTCCACTTCCCACCCAGAGACCTTTAATACCTCCCTATCTCTCCTCCTGAGTGCTGGCATTCTGCTGAAGCTTCCTGGTGCTTGATTGGGTCTGGCACCTGAAGAACTGCTGAAGGAGATAGTTCTTTGTGGAAGCAGCATGGTGTGGTAGTTCACAGCTTTGCTTGAGGGCCAGCCAGCCTGGGCCCAAATCCTGGCTCTGGCATTTGCTAAATGATGTGGCCTGGACACATTTTATGTTGTCTTTAAGCCCCAGTTTGACTAATTGTAAAATGATGGCGATAATTGTACCCAGGTTTATTGCAAGAATTTGAAAAGATGTTCCTAGCACTGCCTTTGGGATAGTGACTGGTCCATGGTAAGCATAAAGTAAATTTAACTGCTGTTATCACCAGCACCATGAAATGCTTACATCGCGTCCCCACCCTAACTTAGGAATAGCAGGAAGTCCTTTCTCAGTACATCTTTGTATTCTTCCTTACGTCTTGCACTTGACAGTGATCTGTTATTTTCGTTTTATTGTTTTGAGGTCCATCTGTAAAAGGAAATCTCAGCGCAGACCCTGCAGCCCTCTGTGTGTCTGCAGTCTTAGTGGAGCATGTGCATTTTGGAGCCAGACAGATCACGCTTAAGATTTGGCTTCTCCTTACCTTCTCGGTCCCTCAGTTTACTTATTAGTTAAAATGCTGGTAACACCATCTGTCTTGCAGAGTTGTTGTGAGGCTTGGAGCTAGAGTATAAACAATGAATGTGCTTCTAGCAGCTGGCACAGGGTAGGTGCCCAAGGAAGGGTGTGATGATGAGGATACGATTCCTCCTGGGGGAAGCGGGGAACTGGGGACTGGAAGGGGACATTGTGTTCAGCACGACTACATGCCCTTCTCCTTCTTTCCCTGCAGCCGAGGGGAGCTGCAGCGGGAATCAGACTTCATGGCCAGTGTAGACAGCAGCTGGATCTCCTGGGGGGTCGGGGTCTTCCTGCTGAAGCCTCTCAAGTGGACTCTTTCTAACATGCTGGGGGATAATAAGGTTCCAGCCGAAGAGGTACTTGTGGCTGTGGAGCTGCTTAAGGTGGGTACTCAGAGGGGGATGTCTGGTGTCACCTGGTGTGATCACAGGTGTGATTCACATCCCTCATGTACATTCTGGAAAAAGTCTGTTTCTTTTTTGCATGGTAGACAAAAGACGATATCTGAGTTTATCTGGCCTCCCTTGTAATGTACTTTGTAGCATTATTTGCTAGCTGGAGTCTTACATTTCAAGGGTGAGCTTTTGTCTGGGGATTATCAATAACAAGCAGTGGGTTATTTTCTAGAATTTGAGGGATTAGTGATAAGCAGTAGTTCAGAGAACGCTTTGCCTTCTATAGTTTACTGACAAGAATTTCTCAGGATCTCTCTGAACTGTGCATGGCTTTCAGCTTTGCCTGCCCCTGATATCAACAAACTAGGCCGAACTTTCCTGCTTCCTGACCATCCCCTTTCCCCTTCCAGCTTAATGATGGCCTGCCTCTCACTGTCCATGCTCTCCTGCCTTGAAGAGGCCACCAAGGCCATGACCCCGTCATCCTTTTGTGGTCAGTGCACTTCCTCCTGGCTTGCCTTTCCTCCCCAGCCTGGGTCGCATGGCTCATTGCTTTTCTCCCTCCCTCTGCAGCACCCTCCACTCCTTTGCACCTGTGTTGGCCCACCTCGGGTGACACCCAGCAGTTCTGCAGCCTGAGGTCAGCTGCACAGTCTGCCATCACTGCTGGAGAAAATCACCCTGTCGTCCAAACTGAGCTCCCTTCGTGGTCCCCTGCAGGAGATCCTCGGAGCCACTCCCCAGCCCACCTCTTGTCCTCTCCTGTCTTCTCACAGGCTTGTTTCCTTCTGTCATCTTTATTCTCTTGCAGACACTTCACTGAGGAGGTAGACTCTCCTGAGTCGGCCCTTCGGTTTCTATCTCTCCTTCCCAAGCTTAACATCCTTGGAGCCCATCACCCCCCCGTGCTTAGAGGCTGCAATGTCCTTCCTCTGTTCCATGCCTGCTCTTGATGTGCGCTGCATTCTTGTCCCTTTGTCCCACCCGCTAGCCCTTTGCCCCGCATGTTCTGTCTCCATCTCTTTTGATGCGCTCCTTCTGCTCTAAGCCCGCTTTGGCTTTTTCTGTCACACATGTTCCCCTTTGTGGTACCTGGGCCCTGCCTAGTGACTGCTCTGTCCTCTTCCCTGCCAAGCTTGGTGTTCCCACCTTCTCACCTCCCACTCATTCTGCCACCTGGTACACACCTGTTTCTGCCCAACCGCTCCACCAGAACTGCTGTGAATGAGGTTATAGGAGCCTTTCAATGAGTGTGTGTGTGTCTACAAAGTTGACTTGTGTGTGCATGTGTGCTGTGTGTTTACAAAGTTGACTAAACACCGGGTGGCAGAAGTATATTGCAGACAGTAGTTATTTTTGAAGCTCACAGACGAAGCCTGGCCTCAGGGCCCATGCCTAGCCCTGGAGGCTTCCACGTAGCTCAGAATCCCCTATTTCTCCTCACCTTGACAGACCCCAGCCTACTCTGTCTGAGACGGAGGAGGGAGTCTCCAAAATCTTCTAGTCTCCCCCTGCTTCCCCAAATTTTTGACTTAGCAGAGCATGTCTTCTCTGGGGGGAGCCCACCCCACCACCACTACTTGTGTGGTTATTTCCCTTACCTGGTCCCTTGATCTCCAGGGCTCAGTCAGGGTCCTTGGTCTAACAATCTTTCGAAAGCAACGTGGAGATGAGGGTGGCAGGTGGTATTTCATAAATCCTTCAGAACCAGCAATAATTGTTGAGAGCAATGTATTCCAATTGTATTTAAGTAGGTAAATCAGTCTAGCTCTGCAGGGGCATGGTACTGTTAAATTCATAACTCACTTTGAATCACTAAATAGGACTATAAAACAAATAAATCCTGCTTTTGAGGTAAATTGATTTTATCAAGTCCAGACACAAAATAACCAGTAACTTTATTTGAAACAGTACTGAAAAATACAAAAAAGCAAAAATTGCCCATGATTTTACTATTTTAAAAAATTATACAAGCCGGGCACAATGGCTCACGCCTGTAATCCCAGCACTTTAGGAGACAGAGGCGAGAGGATTACCTGAGCTCAGGGGTTCAAGACCAGCGTGGGCAACATGGCAAGACCTCGTCTCTGCACTAAATCAGAAAATTAGCCGGCTGTGTTGGTGCATGTCTGTGGTTCCAGCTACTTAGAAGGCTGAGGCGGAAGGATTGCCTGAGCCCAGCGGGTTGAGGCTGCAGTGGCCATGAGCGTGCCACTGCACTCCAGTCTCAGCGACAGGGTGAGACTCCAACTCAAAAAAAATTATACAAAGAAATGAAAGTTTACTTTCTGTTCATCTCATTTCTATCACTTTAGGAACGTTCCCTCCCCGTGTGAGTGACTGTGTATGTGTATGAAAGAGAGTGTGAGAAAGTTTGTGTGTATGTTTACAGGCATATATTTTCTTATTGATCCTGTAACTCTATCATGTTACTTTTCATTCTGTTTTGTTGTTAGCATTTGGTATTTCCTGAAAGTCTTGTCAATTGTTTGTCTTTCCTACTAGAAGGGAGAAATGACATGGGCTCTGGGATCCTGGGAACTGCCTGGTACATAATAGACCATCAATAAATATTTGTTGAATGAATGAACTTCCACATATATACATATGTGTACAAGTGCCCTTCCTTTTTTTCTAGAAATGGAATTGGTCTGCAACCTGCTTTTTATTTTCACTTTAATACTTCAGCATCTTGAAATACACAGTGTAGATGTACGTCACTCTCTGTGATGGCTGCAGAATACTCTATGGATATGCCATCATTTATGCTCTAGCTGCCCCACAAGTGGACCTTTAAGTCATTCTAATTCCTCTGTTTTTCCATTACAAAAAAAAAAAAATACTACTTTGACAGCCCTGTGCATACATCTGTGTATTTCTACTTTTGTTTTTATAGAATTCATTTCTGGAGATGCATTTTTACCCTTTAAATTTTAACAAAAATTTCCCAACTACTTTTCTAAAACTTGTACTAATTTACACTTTTATCAAGACTATGTTAGAGAGTCCGTTCTCCCCATGTCCTTGTCAGCACTGGATGACATTAGCCTTTCAAATTTTGCCAATTTGATGGACGATCCCGATTTGTGAGTTGACCATTTTTTAAAATGTGTTTACTGGCCATTTACATGTCACTTTATGTGAATTGACTGTTTGTGTCCTTTGCTTGCTTTTATGTTGCATTGTTGTCATGTATGTTAATCTGTAGAAGTTCTTTACATATTACAGACAGGTAATCTAATATGGCGTAGTTGGTATTGGGGATATAAATATTATTTCCTAGTCCATTGCTTGCTTAATTATATTTATTTATTTATTTATCTTAATTTTTATTTTAAAGATGTGAGGTTCAATTCAGGGTTAGGTATATAAGTGGAATTTTTATTTATGATATCTTTTGCCATATAGAAGTTTTCATATTTCTGTAGCTCTTAAATTCTTCTTTGTGGCTACTGAGTTTCTTGTCATGTTTAGGAAAGCGTTCTTCTCTGCTTCAGGCTTAATTGGATTATTCTTTTATGTTTTCTTTTTTGTTTGTTTGTTTGAGTCAGGGTCTTACTCTGTCACCCAGGCTGCCAGGCTGGAGTGCAGTGACAAGATCACAGCTCACCGTATGTATCCTCAACTTTCTGGGCTTAGGCAGTCCTTTCGCCTCAGCCTCCCCAGTAGCTGAGACTACAGATGTGTGCCACCACACCTGGCAAATTTTTTTATTCCTGTAGCGACAAGGTCTCACTATGTTGCCTAGGCTAGTCTTGGAACTCCTGGACTCAAGCAGTCCCCTTGCCTTGGCCTCCCAAAGTGGCAGTATTACAGGTGTGAGCCACCGTGATCAAACTCTTTTATGTTTACTTTGAATTATTTTATACAGCATCAGTATTTATTTTTGTACATGTAGTGAGGAAAGGCTCTGCCTTCTTGCAAATGGCTAGCTGGTTGTCTCAGTACTTTTTATTAATGTTGTGCACCATCTGTCTATTTGTGTATAGAGACTGTACTGTTCTTACAACAACAGCTTTATAGTAAGTTTGATTGTCTGACAGGGCAACCAAATTGAATGCAATCTTTAGTCTCTCTCTTCTGCCTTTGACACTGTTGACCGCTCGCTTCTTAAACTTTCCCATTTCCTTGAATTTGTTTGCATGACCCTGCAGGTCCTCCTTGATTCTCCCTAAGCAGTTCTTCTGGGTCTTTTTTGTGAGTTCCTTCACTTGTTAAACATCAGTCTTTCTTCAGCTTATTACTCTTCTTTCTGAATTTCCTTGGCAGCTTAATACCATTGATATGTTGGGGACTTTCAGCATTATATCCTCTGTCCTGGTATTGCCTTTGAGTTTCAGATTTGTATATCCACCTACCTCTTTTGTGTGTCTTCTTGCATATCCCTCAGACATCCTAAACCAACATGTCCAAGATAGAATATTTTGTCTTTCCTATGAAATAGGCTTTACCTCCTATGCTTTTGCTATTAACTAATAGCATCACGTCCACTGCTCACTTAAGCCAGAATCTAGTTCTCTTTCTCCTTCAACCCTATACATACCTAGTCACCATGGATTGCAGGCTTATTTTCTGAATTTGACTTGAGTCCACCCCTTCTTTGTCCCTGTTACCCACATGTTCTCTTGTTTAACCCCACGTATTCTTTTGCATAAATGTCTCCCTGCCTGTCTTCCTAACTCTACTGTCCATCCTTTCCCAGTTGTCAACTGGCTCTCTGGTAATCTAGCCATGCCAGTTCCCTTCAGTGACTACCCACCATCTGCAGAATACAGGACGGCATGTAAGATGTTACCTTTTCTATAACAAGAAGTGCTTGTACTAGTGTCTCTCGCTTCCCCTCTGCATACACAGACGCATTCCATACTGACTCATTCTTCTGTGCTCATGATCCTCTCTCTGAAGTAGCCCTCCCACCCACTTCACTTAGGAACTCGTTCACTCTTCCAGAAAATCCCAGGTCCCCAGGCATTTCTTCCCTGTATTTTCATGGCATCCTGTGGGTGCCTCAGTAAGTATTCTGATTTGTGGCAGTAATTTCCATGTATGAGGGAAATAATGGCTTTGTTTCTTGGAACTTGTATTTCTCAGTCTTCACACTCACCCTATCCTACCTATTTGTGACCTGCTTTCAAGACTGTCTGCAGGGCAACCCCCTCGGGTCCCCTTCCACTGTGCGAGCTTTCCTGTCCTCTTAATAAATCTTGCTTTCTAAAAAAAAAAAAATAGTAAGCCGGGCTCAGTGGCTCAGCCTGTAATCCCACGCTTTGGGAGGCTG